CTTGAACTTGCATGTGAAACAACTGGTGGTCTGTTCCACAGTCAGCTCTTGGCGTTGTTTTGGCTGAAGATATTGAGCTTCTCCATCACTTCTTGCCACAGATATCGTTGATCTGATTCCTGTGTACTGTATCTGGTGAAATCCACATGTATAGCTGCTGTTTATGTTGTCAAAAAAAAGGTATTTGCAATGAATAAGTCACTGGTCTTGCAAAATTCTATCATACAAACTCCCAGCATCATTTCTATCACCAAGGCCATATTTTCCAACTTCCTGTGATTTTTCTTTGTTTCCAATTTTTGCATTCTAATCACCAGTGATAATTAACATATTTTAATTGCATGTTTGCTTAATTTCAGACTGCAGAAGTTGGTAAAAATCTTCAGTTTCCTCGTGTTTGGCTTTGGTGGTTGTGCACAAATTTGAATAGTAGTAGTAGTAACTGGTCTTCCTTGTAGCTATACAGATATTATCCTATCACTGACAGCATTGTACTTCAGGGTAGATCTTGAAATATAGTTTGTGATGATGAATGCCACACCTTTCCTCTTCAATATGTCATTCCCAGTATAGTAGATCATATGGCTGATTCAAAATGGCCAAAACCAGTCCATTTCAGCTCACCAATGCCTAGGATATTGATCTTTATGTGTTCCATTTCATTTTTGACAACTTCCTATTTTCCTAGATTCATACTTTATACATTTCATGTTCCTATTATTAATGGATGTTTGTAGCTGTTTCTTCTCATTTTGAGTCATGCCACATCAGCCAATTTAGGTCCCGAAAGCTTTACTCCATTCACAACATTAAGGTCAGCTTTACTCTGAGGGGTCAGCTCTTCCCCAGTTGTATCTTGAGTGCCTTCCAACCTGAAGGGCTCATCTTCTGGCACCATATCGGACAATGTTTCAGGACTACTCATAAAGTTTTCCAGTAGTATATCAGACAGTGTTTCACTGCTATGAGATTTTCACTGGCCTATTCTTTAGAAGTGGATGGCCTTGTCCTTCTGAGTCTGTCTTAGTCTGGAAGCTCTGCTGAAACGTGTCCACCACAGGTGATCTTGCAGGTATTTGAAATACCAGTTGCATAGCCTCCAGCCTCACAGTAACACACAAGCCACCGCAGTATGACATATTGAGGTCAGAAAACAAGGTGTTGGTTCCTTCTGAAGGCTTTGTGAGAGAATCTGTTCCATCCCTCTATCCTAGCTTCTGGTGGATGCAGGCAATCCTTGGCTTGTAGATGCAACACTCCAGTCTCTGCCTCTGTCTTCACATGGCCTTCCCCTCTGTGGGTTCTATCTGTGTGTTTCATAGCTCCCTCTCCTTTCTCTTATGTGGACACCAGACATTGGATTTAGGGCCCATCCTACATCCAGGACAGTCTCATCTTGAGATCTTTAACTTAATTACACTGACAAACCCTATTACCAAATAAGGTCATACTCAGAGGCACCAGGAGGGAGTTAGGATTTGGATATGTCTTTTTAGAAGACACAGTCAACTCAATGCATGTTAATATAAATAACACATTTTTATGAAAAATAACTATATTTTCCAAATAAAAATTTAGTGAGAAGAATGGCACTGTTTCACATTTAAATCTCTTTAATGTACAGATTCATAGAAAAACTGGATTCTCATCTGCTTTTATATACAATCTATTATATCTTATTTTGCTTGAAATATATGATGAAAATCCAGCCTCAGAATGTTATATCACAGATCCTTCAAAAAGGTTTTAGACACCACTAGCACCTCCAAAGGTTTTAGCAACACTGGACACTTTGGGAACTCTGCTCCAAAGTAAATACTCTAAAGTACATATAAAATAGGCCTCTGGTGGCACAAAGGAGCTCTGGTGTTACAGTAGTTAAGGTATTTGGCTGCTAACCAACAGGTAGCCAGTTCTAATCCACAAGCCACCTGATGGGATAAAGATGAGTCTGCCTCATAGTGACTCTACAGGACAGACTATTGTTATGTGCTGTCAAGTTGGCCCTGACTCATAGCAACCTCTCCTTGGGTTTCCGAGGCAGTATCACTACAAAAGTAGATTGCCCTATCTTCCTCCCGAGGAGTGGCTGGTGGGTTTGAACTGCCAGCCTTCTGTTTAGCAGTCAAGTGCTTCAGGCACTACGCTACCAGAGCTCCTACAGGACAGACTAGAACTGTCCAAGAGGGTTTCCAAGGCTGTAAACCTTTACAAAAGCAGACTACCTCATCTTTCTCTCACAGAGCGGCTGATGGGTTCATATGGCTGTCCTTTTGGTTAGCAGCCCAATGTTTTAACCATAGTGCCACCAGAGCTTCTTCTGTAATGATTTATAGTCTTGGAAACCTTATGCAGCAATTCTACTATGTCCTATAGGGTCACTATGTGTTTGCATTGAGTCAGTGGCAGTGGGTTTGGGCGGCATAGTTTGTGCTCTACTAGTAACTGTAAAGTTAAAGATTCAAACACATCCAGAGGGGCCTGCAAGAAAGGCCTGGTGATCTGCTTTCTAAATATCACAACCTTGAAAACTCCACAAAGCACAGTTCTACTTTGAAACACACCAGGTCACCAGGACTCCACGGTATGGCAACGGGTTTGGTTTTGATATATAAAGTAGAATTTCTAGGAAATATGTCTATATCTATACACAGACATAGATTTGTCCTTAACTTTAGTAGACATGCCACATTGTTTTCCAAAGTGGGTATACCAATTCCATTTCCACCAATAGTGTATGTTGGATCTCGTTACTGTATATGCTCATGAATATGTGCTATTGTTACACTTTTAAACTTTGCCTATCTGGTGGTGTGTAATGTATTGCACTGTGGTTTTCTTTTTTTTTTTTGTATTGCCACAGTATGTACTAAGAAATTGAGGTTTAGAAGAGCAACGTTACTTTCTGAAGGTGACAGAACCAAGTTAGGAAACAGAACTCACGTTTTCTACTTTCAAAATCAGTCTGCTTTCCACCCACTGACACAAATAATGCTGCTTCTGGTCCAGTCTTCAGCAAGGTTCAGTCTCCCACAAATCTCATCTCTTCTATGGAACTGAGGATCCCTACGTCAGGTCTTCATTCTTTTCTCCACTGAGGAGACACTGCCCATCATAGGCACTAGAGGTCCCCGAACAGCTCTGTAACTCCTCTGGGTCCCTCCACACAACACACACGCACGCGCCCATACGCAGCGCATCCTAGGTCGCTAAGGGCCCGGGACAAGTCGGTAGGACTTCCCCGCCCTTCTACACAACACCCTCAGGCTTTCTTGCTTTGTTCCAGCCTCTAATTCCTTCTCATAAAACCATCTACGCACCCTCTGCTGCCCATCTTAAAGTGCAGTGCCACGCTGTGGTCATTTACAAAGAAGAACCAGTAATACCTAATTTGAGTTAGGAGCTCTGGTGTCCCAGTGCCTAATTTTGACTGCTAACCAGTAGGTTGGCAGTTCAAACTTACCAGCCGCTGAGGAAGAAAGATGAGGCCATCTACTTCCATAAAGATACACTGCTTCAGAAACCCAGTGGGGGTCACTGTTATGTTATGTGCTGTCGAGTCGACCCCGACTCATAGTGACCCCTCCTTGGGTTTCCGAGGCAGTATCACTACGGAAGTAGGATTGCCCAACCTTCCTTCCGAGGAGTGGCTGGTGGGTTTGAACCGCCAGCCTTCTGGTTAGCAGTCAAGTGCCTTAGGCACCATGCCACCAGAGCTTCTATGGGGGTCACTATGAGCCAGAATCTACTCGAAGGCAGTGAATTTTTTGTGTTTATATGCATGAGAAAATGAATGATGCAATGCAAATAATAATAATAATAATAATAACACCTGTTACAATTATATGTTTCCTGTTATTTATTAAGCACTCCAACACATACCAGCCGTGTGATCACAGGTAAATTACTCTATTTAATCCTCAATTTCCTCTTCAATAAAATAGGGATAATATATAGGGTTGTTTGGAGGATCAAATGACATCATATATGTAAGGTGCTCAGCATAGTGTCTGTTGATAACGAGTGCTCAATAGGTGTTTATTTTCATTTAACAATGTTTACCTAGTATATGCCAACCACTCTTCTAGGTACTTTTTCCAAACACTGAAACTTCATAATAATCCTCTGTGGCAGATACTATTATTACCTTCACTTTACAGATGCTAAAAGTGAAACAGAGAAGTTAACCAACTGACCCAAAGTACCGCAGCTAGGAAGTGGCAAAGGCTGGTCTAGAATTCCTGCAGTCTAGTACCAGAATTAGCGTTCCCCGCTAAACTGCTTCTCCCCCAATATTGATTTATTAGAAAACTCTGCAAACTGCAAGGCTTTCTACCACTGGTGATTAGTTCCCTAGGGCAAAATAAGCTTTTCTTCGCTCCCTCGGAGCTTCCCCAAAGTTCAGCTCTTGCAAAAACAAAAGCCTCATCCGCTTTCACTGCTCTCTTTCTCCCCCCCACCATCGCCCGCAAGGAGGACGCAACAGCAGGCCACGCCCCTTCTTCTGGTCCCACCCTTCACCTCCACGCCACGCCACGCCACGGCAACCACGCTGGCCCCGCCCCTCGTCCAAAGCTGCGACAGAGGCAGAGCCAACGCCTCGCGAGCTTCCACGTACACACTCCAACGACTTTCCCCCCTACGGAGAGCACATCCGGGTCGCTGAAACAGGTGCCTCAGGCTCCGCCCCTTTTGTCGGAGCAATCGCTCCCTCTTCCGGCCTTCGCAGCCCTTTTCCGCTTGTTTTCTGCCGGCTTTATCTCCGCGATCCTAAGTCGCTGCCGGCCTCTGGCTCCGGTGTCTTAGCGTCTCTCACCTGCTTTCATCAGTTCGCTTCTCACCCCGAATCTCTCGGAGTATCAGAGCGGCTCTGCCGGTTCTGCCGTGCGTTTTCGCGGGAAGGCCCAGGCTGAGGCCTGCCGCGCGGGGTGACTGCCGCGCATACCTGACCCCACGTCCCTCCGCAGCTTCCTTGGGGCCGTTGCTGCCGCCGCCTCGGGATGCCGCGGTCAGGGTCCGCGCAGCACTGGGAGGCCACCGCAGGCAGTTGGGGCTGTAGCCTGTTAGCATTGCTGCTGTTGGTGCCGGGGCCCGGCAGAGCTTCTGAGATCACCTTCGAGCTGCCGGACAACGCCAAGCAGTGCTTCTACGAAGACATCACTTTGGGCACTAAGTGCACCCTCGAGTTCCAGGTACCACGGGCCCTGGAAGTCCCCGGACCCCAGCGCTCGCCTTCAGGGTTGGAGCTGCATTATGCGAGGTGTCCCTCTCCTGTCTTTTCCCCATCTTTGGCAGGTTCAAGAAGCACTTGTAGGGAGCTAATAGGAACGGAGCATTTGATTTTCGTGTTCTAAACATTTAAGACCGGATATTAAGATATGTGAATTCCAGAAGTGCATCCCCTAGCTCTGCTGTTTCTTTATGTTCTCCAACGCCCTTCATTTTAAGGTCCCTTGAGCTTTCTTCCTTGAAAGAGTCTCATTTTAAAAAAAATATTTTTGCTTTATAGTGCTTGATGTCAACCTCCCACACCTGACCCACACCTTCACTTTAATCAACTTTGAAGTGATTTCAGAACTCCATTGCTTTTCAGTTTTTACATTGAGATTAGAACTGGTGGTTAGTACTCTCTCTGTCATGGGAGATCTCCATTAGAGGCTGGTGACCATCTGCCAAAGAGTTGCTGTGATAAATGAGAAACCCTTATGATCCTGAGGAGCTCTGGTGGTGCACTGGCTGAGCCATTCGGCTGCTGACCAAACTGGTTAGAACCCACCAGCCGCTCCTTGAGAAATATGAGGCATTCTGCTTCTGTAAAAATTTACAGCCTTGGAATCCCTATGATTCAGTTCTACTCTGACCTATAGGTTTGCTATGAGTCAGAATCAACTCGATGGCAGTGGGTCTGGTTTTGGTTTTCTGATCCTAGAGATTACTGTAAATGATAAACTTTATTTAACAGAATGTAGTTTCTTAAAGTGGCTAGGGCAGTCTTTACTCTGTTTTCTTTTTGTTGGCAGGCTTATTTTACACACTTGAGCAGCTAGTGAGTGTTAGGTGCTGCTAATAGAAGTGATCAAAGCAGATGGGGTTGCTGCCATCATTCTCGAGTCCCCTCATCCTCTCCTTTTTTGCCTTCTTTCTTTTCATTCTAATTGTGTGTTTTGGGAGAAGATAGGAGATATGTGACCAGGTCATTGGGATCCATGAAGGCTTCCCTCAGAAAGTGATTTTAAGCTGAGCTTTAAAGAATGAGTTATATATACTTGGGCATAGGACCTTGTGGTAAGAGTGAGCACTGAGAATGTGAGAACCATGGAGAGATCCTACAGTATGGTTGGAGAATAAGGAGCCAGAAGAAGAGTGGTGGAAGATTAGGGCTGGAAGGGCAGCAGGGCCCTTTTGTCCATTTTAGCAGTGATATGATCAGAATATTTCTGGTAGCTGGCTGGTAAGGTATTATTGAGTGGAGGTGGGAGACTACTTTTAGGGCTGTTGTGATCTAGGCAAGAAATGATAGTGGCTCAGAACAGGGTGTTAGCAGTGGGAAAGGAGAAAATTGAAAAGATTGGAGAGGATTTACTAGGCGCTAAACAGATCTTGGTGATGATTTGTCTGTAAGATGAAAAGGAGAGAAGGTTAAGGATGATCCTTAGACTTACTTAACTCCATGAATTAAGATTCCAAACCCAAAACCACTGCCGTTGAGTTGATTGTGACTTATAAAGACTCTATAGGACTGAGTAGAACTGCTCCATAGGGCTTCCAAGGATGTAATCTTTACGGAAGTAGATTACCAATTCTTTCTCCCACAGAGCTAAGAACCGTTATATATGTTTGAACAGCTAGTCTTGCGTTTAGCAGCCCAGTGTTTAACTGTTGTTACAGAGGTCAGTGGCCACATCTTTCTCCCATGAAATCATTGGTGAGTTCAAATCACCAACCTTTTGGTCAGCAGCTGAACACTTAGCCACCACACCACCAGGGATCCTTAAACAGACTGTCATAAATGTTAAGTGCAACAGTAATGGTACACAGTAAGTATAGTGCTGTCAGAGGGAAGAAGAATTGTCAGGGAAAACTTAACTGAGAGGCTGCTGTTTAAACTGAGTCTAGAAATATAAATAGGAGTTGCTCTGAATTCTGGCGGAGAGCTCTGTTGGTGCAGTGGTTAAGTGCTCAGCTGCTAGGTGGAAGTTGGTTGTTTGAAGCCACCAGCCACTCTGCAGAAGAAAGATGTGGGACTCTGCTTTTACAAAGGTATATAGCCTTTGAAATCCTATGGGGCAGTTCTGCTCTGTCCTGTAGGGTCACTATAAGGTGATTTGAGCTCAGTAAGAGAGTGATATACCAACCTCCTTCCCTAGACACTACATGCAGCATCTCATAATCACTGTATCTTTGAGCTGTGGCTGTGAACATTATATGTTAGTGTTATTTTAGGTTTTATGTATTATTTGAAATTATTTGGCAGGTTGATTTTTGGGTCTGGGAATGCTCAAAAAAAAAAAAGTAAATTAATGGCCATAAATTAAATAATTGGTGCAGATGTGAAGCAAAGACATACTCAGAAAACTTTTGGTAGTCTGAACATAGTGTGAGCAAGAATATGAATATAAGAAATCCTGAAGCTACCTGGAGGAAGAACAGGGAATGTTATGCCATTGTTAATAAAATCCAAAAATCCATAGCCATTGAGTTGATTCTGACTCAAGGTGATCCTATAGGACAGAGTAGAATTGCTCTATAGGGTTTCCAAGACTGTAAATCTTTACAGAAGCAGACTGCCTCATCTTTCTTAGGTGGAGCAGCTGGTGAGTTTCAACTGCCGACCTTTTGGTTAGCAGCCCAGTGTTGTAACTACCACATCACCAGAGCTTCTTCCATTATTAATAAGTTTAGATTTTTCCATAAGCCACAGGTAGTTTTCAAAAGGTTTCAAGCAAACTCAGTGATTCTTCATTGGGGATGGGGTAGGTAGGGGAAGAGGGGTATGGCTTCTTACTCCCAGGAGACATTTGATGATGTCTGGAGACACTTTTGGTTGTTGTAATTGGATAGTATTGGAGGGGGGCCTACTACTGACATCTAATAAGTAGAGGTCAGGGACGCTGCAGAGCATGATTCAATGAATAGGAAAGCATGTTGTTGTTGTCAGGTGCCATTGAGTCATCTCCGACTCAAAGAGACCCTGTGTACAGTAGAATGAAACACTGCCTGGTCCTGTGCCAGCCTCATGACTCTTGCTATACCTGAACCCATCGTTGCAGCCACTATGTCAGTCCATCTTGTTGAGGGCCTTCCCCTTTATCGTTGACCCTCCACTTTACCAAGCATGATATCCTCCTCCAGAGATTGGTCCCTTCTCGTAATATGACCATAGTAGGTAAGATGAAGTCTGGCCATTCTCGCTTCCAACGAACATTCTGGCTGCACTTATTCCAGGACAGATTTGTTAGTTCTTTTAGCAGTCCACCAGTACTTTCAGTACCAGGAAGCGAGCCAGCCACAGTTTGGAAAAGCTAAGGGAGACCAGGAAGCAAGCTGGTGGTGATTTGGAACAGCTAAGGGAGATCAGGAAATGAGCCGGCAGTGGTTTGGAACAGCTAAGGGAGACAAGGACATGAGCAGAGCGGTTTGAAGCAGCTAAGGGAGACAAACTTGTCTGTCAGTTTGTTGTACTGTGGTAGCTTGCATGTTGCTGTGAGGCTGGAGGCTATGCCACCGGTATTTCAAATGCCAGCAGGGAAACCCATTGTGGACAGGTTTCAGCGGAGCTTCCAGAATAAGACAGATTCAGAAGAAGGAAGAGGCCTCCCTATGTTAGAGGGAGAAGAAATTAATTAGATTATGAGAAGACCTGTGAGGAAGGTTTGGTAGTAGTCCTGTCTGAGTATGGATTAGGAATAGAAAGAATGGAATGATTTTGAGAGAAGCAGCAAGATCACCTTGAGATTTCTGTGATCAAGTGGACAGGTAGGTTTACTTAGTTTAGGATGCTTCCCAGTTTCTTCGGTGACCAGATAGGTTCTAAAGGAATATGATTAACTGAAGTAAGAATGCCTATTTTAAAGTCTGATGAGAGAAAAATGGGATGGTGATCAGTTCTGTCCTATTCAGTGTGTATATGTATTTGATTACTCAAAGTAGAATAGTCAAGTATAAAAAATTGGGTATATCAAAATGAAGTCATTATTTTCACCTGAAGGAATGGTCAGTTGACTTTCAGGGGAAAAGGTAAATGCCCAATTAATAAGACACTGTGTTATATGTAAAAACATGACATCTGTATATTAATAATTATGTATTTTACAATTCCCAAGTACATAATTATGTTTCATTTAATTACCAAAATGATCTTGCAACATTGTTTAGTTATACCTTAAATCTTGTAAGTTGCAGAAGGTCATATAAATGACCAGTCATTCTTTGAAGTCTAAAATCTGGTCTCTCCCTTCCACTGATCTAGAATGTTAATATGCACAATGAAGTTTCAAGCTTGAAAATACAGACTTGTGCCACCCAGTCTCATGGTGGTTGTGAACCCGTAAGCCCAGTCTTCCTTATCTCTTCTTTTTCAATTGGATGTACCCTCCTCCCTTCTTTCTTCTTACTTATTTAGTTCTCATCTAAGGAGGTCTTTCTGCTCTTTAATACTTTTCCTTTTTTATCTCAGGAAAAATCTCTTCCTCCTTTCTCTTCATTTGTATAACCCAAATGACCAAATTATAATTGATTACACATAAACCAAAAACCTAACACATTACCTTCAATTCTGACTCACAGCGACCCTATAGGACAGGGTAGTAGTGCCCCTTAGGATTTCGAAAGGTGTATATCTTTACAGAAGCAGACTGCCACATCTCTGTGAGGCGGCTGGTGGATTCAGTGTGCTATTTTTCCATTTAACAGCTGAGTGCTTTAACCACTGAATAACCAGGTTTCCTTTGATTAACTAAAAAACCATATTCACTGCCATCAAGTCGGATCCAACTCATAGCAACCCCTCCTTGGGTTTCTGAGGCCGTATCACTACGGAAGTAGATTGCCCAACCTTCCGTCTGAGGAGTGGCTGGTGGGTTTGAACCACCAGCCTTCTGGTTAGCAGTCAAATGCCTTTAAGTAAGCCCTTGAAAATAGCCCTGAAATCCTCTTCAGAACCATTATATCTACTCCCTGCTTTCTTTTCACTATGCTTGCCTTTAAACACAAGCTTTCCATATAAACCAAAGATTTGTTTGCTTTTGTTTCGTTTTGTTTTTGCTTTAATCACAAGTTTTTAGGCAGTATTGTTTAGTCAGTTAGATTTCTCTTTTAAACAAGATTATAAACTCTTCTGAAAATCCTGCAAGTCTACTCAGGTCATCATGTAGTTCAAAACTCATCGTCAAATTACATAGAACTGATTTATGAAAGAATTTAAGATAGAATTGGCGAAAGTTGTGTTACAGATATATTTACGACAGTGACAAAAAAAAAAAAAAAGTGCTGCTGAGGCTACTTGTGTACAGCCAAATACCTCATGGGATTTGATTTCTTGGTTTGGAGGTTTAGAGTCATGGTTTCATGGGACCAAGCAAACAAACCCACTGCTACCAATTCAATTCCAACTTATAGTAACCCTGTAGGACAAAATAGAACTTCCTCATAGAATTGCCAAGGCTATAAATCTTTATGGATGCAGACTGCCACATCATTCTGCCTCAGCAGCTGGTGGGTTCAAATCGCCAACCTTTTGATTAAGCCATGCACTTAACCACTGTGCCACCAGGGCACCTGTTCATAGGACATCCCAGCTAACTGACCTAATAACATGTTTACTGCTTCTCTTCTACCTCCTAATTCATTGTGCAGTGCCTGGTGGCTTAAAAGCTTGCAAGCAGCCGTCCAAGGCACAACAGTTGGTGTCTACTCACCTAAAACAACAGAAAGAAGGAGAATCAGGACTAGGAGGAGGATATGGAATACGTGACTAATTACTTTCATGAACAAGTACCTCCCTTGCCAGGAGACCTGAAGAATTAGATGGTGCCCGGCTACCGTTACTAAACATTTTTATCAGATGTATCACAGAAGAATCCTGATCAAAGGGGGATGATGTGGAACAGAATTTATGGACTCAGGACTCTCTGGAGCTATGAAGATTGAATGATGTTGTTGTTAGCTGCCATCAAGTCAGTTCCAACTCCTAGCTACCCTGTGTACAATAGAATGAAACACTGTGTGGTCCTGTGCCATCTCCACAATTGTTGCCATGCTCAAGCCTATTGTCACAGCTACTGTGTTAATTTATCTCCTTGAACGTCTTTCCTTTTTTCACTGACTATCTACCAAGTATGATATCCTTCTCCAGGGATTGGTCCTTTTGACAACATGAACAAAGTACTAGAGACGATGTCTGGCCATTCTCACTTCTAAAGAGTATTCTGGCTGAGCCCGGAAACTATTGCCCTAAGATAATCTTAAAGCCTTAAACCAAAAATAATCCCCTGAAATCTTCTTAAAATGCTTTGGGCACTGTGCCACCAGAGCACCTTGAAACTAAGCAGTAGTTTAACTTAACTAGTATAAAAATATCTGCCTTGAGCATTATGCTCTTTTAAGATTTATCTATATGGGATTAAATTGACTGCAGCAACTTAAAAGATTAGATAGAAACCTTAGGGGGCAGTGAGTTTATGTCAGTGGAAGAGAAACAACTCAAAAAAGGAGGGTGAGTGGTTGCACAAGTCAAAGAATGTAATCAATGTAATTGAATTGCACATGTAGAAACTTGAATTGGTATATGTTTAGCTGTATATATTCTCAATAAAAATAAATAAAATTATATATATATATATATGTATATATATATGTATATATGTATGTATAAATGTAACTTATAAAACACAGTCTGTTTGTAGTATGACAGTGAAATGAGCTTACATTATATGACAGATGTATGCCTGGGGTTTTATGCCAAGGACTGACCAACTACTTCACTACAATGTCCTATGAGTATGCTTGGATGGTGGTAATCAGAGACTAGATGAGAAAATTTTGGTAGGAAAATATTACATGACAACAAACTTAGTTAAGGGTATGACTTTGAAATTCAAGTTCTGCTTCTGTTACTTAATACATAGGGAGGTTACTTACCTCAACTCCAGTTTCTCCAGTCTGTCAAATGGGGAAGAAAAACCTTTCTTCGACATCATTGGGACAATCAGAGATAAAATTAACTGCTATACTAACTAGCACAGTTGTTTGGCTCGTTAACAGTAAATTAACATTTCTTCTCTCCTTCCGAGGAGTGGCTGGTGGGTTCAGTTTCTATAAAACTGTGGAAGGGTTAAACTGATATTTGCTTCCCACTGGTAGACATGATAAAATGTAAACTTGCCTGTAAGTAAAAGTCCTTTGCCAATAACCATATTGCCGTTTTAACAAAGAGCCTGGCTAATTTCTCAAACTTGTTAGTTACAGGGATCTGTTTATTTTTGTTTATCTTTTTATAGGTGATCACTGGAGGTCACTACGATGTAGATTGTCGATTAGAAGATCCTGATGGTAACGTGTTATACAAGGAGATGAAGAAGCAATATGACAGTTTTACCTTCACAGCCTCCAAAAATGGGACATACAAATTTTGCTTCAGCAATGAATTTTCTACTTTCACACATAAAACTGTATATTTTGATTTTCAAGTTGGAGAAGACCCACCTTTGTTTCCTAGTGAGAACCGAGTCAGTGCTCTTACTCAGGTAAATATAAAGGCAGACATATGATGTTGGAATATTTAAAAGAAAAAAGTGTAATATGATATTATGCATTAACTCATTGATGAGCATAGAATTTTGACACTTTAACAATCTTTAAAATGTATTTTAATTCTTAGAGTACATGAAGCATTTCACAGAGAATTTCAGATTATTATAGTGAAAACCAATGCTAAAGGACTTCATGAACTTTTAAGTGTAAAGAAAGTATAAGAAGCCTTAAAATACGAGGAAGATCATTAAGGTAAAACAACAATAGGGAAAGGAAATATAGGAAGGCTAAATAATCACAGCTCCAGCATCATGAAACTTATTCTGTAATTCATGCCCTACTGTAAAAAGAGTATGGTGGCATCAGAGCTCCTCTAACTTCAGAAGAGAAGAGAGAATCACCATCATCGTCAGCCCAAGGCTGATTCCTATGAGATGGAAGTCAGATACCTCCACCCTCCATCCTTTTTAGCAATTCTGACACCAGCCGTCTGTCCCATGGCACTTTCTACTTCCCTGCTGGGTTTGATAATTCACTGTACTGGACACATGGAACTCACAAGGCATACTTAGAGTTAAGTAGTTTGTTAAGGAAGCATTAGAGTACAACTCAGAATAAGGATCTGGTAGCATGTAAGCAAGTCTGGAAGACTACTCTGAAGTGAAGAGCACATCCCCTCCCTTCTTCAGTTAGGATAGCTCTCTCAGCTCCTCTTGGCTATGCAAGTAAGCGGGCCCTTCTCTCGGCTGTGCATGGCCCCTGAGAGTCGGCTTCCTCTCAGGCCCCTTCAGACAGGCTTTTCTTAGCTGGCCTCTGCCCTGCTAGGGCAAGTGTTAGAAAACTCATTAGCTCTACCAGTAAGTGCCCAGAGACATCCCACTCTGCTAGCAAGCCTCCTGCCAAAGGCAGTCCTCTTTCTCACTCTGGGTCAGCAAGCCTATTACAGCCACCTTGCTCCTTGAGCTGGGAAGCCCACTGCTGTCTGGTCCTTTTCCAGTGTTATAGCTCTCTTTGTCTTCTGGGTCTCGGAGAGTCTTAGCTCAAGAATCCTGGGTCAAAAAGACATGCTCTGCTCCTGGCTCTGCTGCTTGATAGTGAGATTACCTTCCCAGCCTCTGGGATTGGCTCACTTTAAACCTAGTGGGATGGTAAAACTGAGTAATTTTCTCTAATTAGCATTCCATATGCCTTATTTGCATGGTCCCACCCCTGCCCATGCACTTAATTTGCATTTATCAGCAGGCTGTACAATCCCCTTGGTGGGTCACAAGCTCCTTACTTGTATCATCCTACCTAATCATTTTGTAGGAGTCGTAAGACCATGGCTAGAAGGGCTATATAAAGTAATTCACTGCACCACAGCAACCTTAACAGGTTGGTATAACTGAAAGCAAAAAATAATGCCCTTATATGTGTGTGTTTATGTATATGAACTGCTGTTGAATCGATTCCAACTCCTAGCAACCCCCATGAGGTTTCTAAGGCTGTAAATAGTTACAGAAGCAGACAGCCTCATCTTTTTTCTGTGGAGTAGCTGTTGGGTTCAAATTGCCGACCTTCTAGTTAGCTGAATGCTTTACCACAATGCACCAGAACGCATATGTATATACGCATGTGTATATATGTGTGTGTATATGCGTGTGCATGTATATATATGTATATGTGTGTTGTTGTTATGTGCCGTCAAGTCGGCCCCCACTCATAGTGACCCTTCCTTGAGTTTCCGAGGCGGTATCACTACAGAAGTAGGATTGCCCAACCTTCCTTTCAAGAAGTGGCTGGTGGGTTTGAACCGCCAGCCTTCTGGTTAGCAGCAAGTGCCTTAGGCACTATGCTAACAGAGTGTATACATATAAAACACCCAAACCCACTGCTATCAAGTTGATTCCAACTCATAGCGACCCCCATTGGGTTTCCAAGGCTGTAAATTTTTACAGAAGTAGATTGCCTCATCTTCCTCCCATGGAGCAGTTGGTAGATTTGAACCACTGATCTTCTGGTTAGCAGCCAAACGTCTTACCCAGTACACCACCAAAGCTATATATATATATATTACCAATCACAGGGTAGTCTTTATACCAGTACTTGGTGTTACTCAAGCTACTTTTTTAGTAATGGATGCTATAAGAATATTGAAGATTAGTGGCAAGATATCTAACAAAAATAGTTAAGGAAGCTAAATTGGGTCTTATTTTGAAGAAGGTCTTAATGAGAGAAAGATAGTGAAAGAAACTCAAAGTCAATGAACAGATTGCTCAGATGATGGAAAGGTTATTTCTAGTTCAAATACAAATGTGCTTACATTATATTGAAAGGTTCAATGAGATTCCAAAAATAATTATCTGTTTCTTAGAACCTTAAACTGGTATTTCATTATATCCAGGTTCCCTTTAGTATTTTGGCCAAAATCATATAATAGAGGTAATTTTTAGGAATGCATAAGAGCCTAATTCATAACCCTACTGTAATACTGTAAGTATTAGAGAGATGTATTCAAATGCTCTTATTTTTAGAAATATTCTCTTTATTTTAAGATCCTGTACAAAAGGTCTGTTGCTTTGTAAAATGATTTTTCTCTGAGACTGTTGTTTAGAACTTAACTTGTATCCCTTTGTGAATTTTAACTCGCACAAGAAGGGAAAAAACTAAACAGAATAGATTATGTCGATATACACGAGCCCATGTGTGCCAGAGTAGATTTGCTTGCTTTAAAAACCTGCAAAAAATGGCATCGGGGCAGCATCTTCTGAACTCTTCTAACTTCACGAGGGGGAGACAGAATCACTGTCAGCAGCATTAGCCCAGGGGTGATTCCTATGATGAGGAGGTCAGACATGCTGCCACACTTCAGACTTTTTTTACCAATCCTGATACCAGAGTCCATAGCACTCTGCTTCTCTGCTGGGTTCAGTAATTCACTGCAGTGGCCATACAGAACTCACAGACAATACTCACAATTATGGGGTTTATAGGGAAGTAACAGGTTACAATTCAGGTTCAGGAATGCTCAGGATACAATTCTTCAGTCAGGGCAGCCTCCCCGTACCTTACTTCCCAGGCCCTACCCCAAAAAGCGTGCTGTGTACCTTACTTATGTTGACAAGCTATCCAATCCCCTTGGGCCACAAAGCACCTCACAGTTACATAGTTTCACCCATTCATCTGGCAGGAGTCACAAAGACTGTGGCAGGAAAAGCCATATTAAGTCATTGACTGAACCACAAAACCTAAGTGGGTAAATGGTGGGAAATGAATGGTAATACAGTGGTTATTATCACTTAGCCTCCATTATTTGTATCATATTTTTTGTCCTTTCTTAGTCTTACTTTCTACTTTTAAAAAAATAGTAAGTCACTCATATAGTAGGGATAGTTACAAAGTAGTTAAATTGAAAAAATTACCAACTCGTAAATATACAGAATAAATGATGGAATTTTACTACCATTGATTTTTAAACATTAATAAAAGGATGGCACTAGACAGGCAGTGATCACCAGTCACTGCTAAAATCATTAAGTCAAAGATTGATGGGCAACTTTATAATAGATGGATTACACTGTATCATCTAAATCTTGTGATCATTCACCAAAAGAAAGATAATTAGATACTATATGTCACATGATATAATGCAATAGGAATATCATTAAACTTGAATCCCATCAAGTCCTTAGATCTGCCATTTTACAAAAAGTACAATGGTGGAAGAAGACCATGAAAACGTAATCAGCGGAATGGGAAATACTATAGGACAAATGATCCACTTTCTTCATTAGGTAGATGACAAGGAGAAAAGGAAGGAAACTGAAAGATTAAAGAGATAATTCATCAACCAAATGATTGTGTTGACCTTGTTTGGATTCTGATTTGAAAACTACTTTTGAGATATTTGGGGAAATTTGAATACAACAATATTAGTTAACTTTAAAGGAACTATTTTCAATTATTTTAGATGTGATAATGCTATTGGGGTTATATCTTTTTGAGTATTACCTTTTAGAAATAAATATAAAGTATAAAAGTTTTTACAGCTGAAATGATACAGTATCTGAGATTTACTTGAAAATAGTTACAGTGAGAAATACAGATGAAACAAGATAAAGGCAAAAATTAAACCCATTGCTATTGAGTCAGTTAAGACTCAGAATTTTCTTGACTTTAATCTTACAGAAACAGATTTCCAGGTCTGTCTTCTGCGGTGCTGCTGGGTGGGCTCAAACCATCAATCTTTAGGTTACTAGTCAAGTGCAAACCGTTTGTGCCACCCGACCACCTGAGTAACAGCCATGTTAATAACTTTTTTGATAATCAAGATTCATTGGACTATTCTCTCTACTTTTGAATGTGTTTGAAAATTTCCACTTTATAAGAAAATACTACATCTCAAAAATTGTATGAATTCCTCAATTTCTGTGATTTTCTCTAATTTAGCAAATTCTTTAATTCATACCCCCATGGACAGGCTTCAGGGAGTCTTAAACATTGTGAATTTATGTTGAGTCCTTATTTTTATGAGTACTTTCAGTAAGGGAGTCCTTAAGCCACATACCATTTTGATAATACATAGAAAACAAATTCTAGAACTTCTTTCCTCTCTAGCCCTTTATACAAATTAGAAACCATTCATTTTATTACAGTTTTGCCAATCTTTCATTCCTAGGACCTAAACAAAAAAAGAACAAAAACATTTTACTGTTCTAATAGGTCATAGGGAGCTCTGGTGGCATAGTGCCTGAGGCATTTAATTGCTAACCAGAAGGCTGGCGGTTCAAACCCACCAGCCATACCTCCGAAGGGAGATTGGGCAATCCACTTCTGTAGAGATCTGTTGTTGTTATGTGCCGTCGAGTCATACCTGACTCATAGCGACCCCTCCTTGGGTTTCCGAGGCAGTATCACTACGGAAGTAGGATTGCCCAACCTTCCTTCCGAGGAGTGGCTGGTGGGTTTGAACCGCCAGTCATCTGGTTAGCAGGCAAGTGTCTTAGCCACTATGCTACCAGAGAGATAGTGCCTCTGAAACTCAAGGAGGGTTTGCCAGGAGTCGGATCTGCCCTGATGGCAGTAAGTTTGGTTTTTGGTTTTTTATTGGCTATAAATAGTGTATATTGGTTTAGTTGACTGACAAAGCAGAAGACTCATTTATAAAACTGATAAATATTTTAAAAAAGACATATTCCTACTCTGACCTATCATTTTCAGATTCAAAAGTTAGCTAAGGATTTTGACCAAAAGTTGTTTTTAAAATTTAGACTAACTCAGTCTATATTTTATGCCATATTTGTTGATTTTTTAAAAATCTTTGAACTTGGCTTTATACTCTTATTACTGGTATCAACTACTAACCTGCCCTTGTCTTCCTCCTCATTCTTCTTTGAAGAACCCAGTCTTATAATTTTATAGCTATCAACTTTGTTGTTAGCTGCTATTCAGTTGTCCCCAACTTGTGACAACCCCATGCACAATGAAACAAAATGCTGCCCAGTCCTGCACCATTCCCATAATCGGTTGTGGATTGGGCTGTTGTAATCAATAAGGTTTGCATCAGCTGATTTTCAGAAGTAGATAGCCAGGCCTTTCTTCCTGGTTTTTCTTAGTATAGAATCTTTGCTGAAACCTGTTCAGCATTATAGCAACATGCAAGCCTTCACTGACAGAAAAGTGGTGACTGCACAAGGCAGTATCTTAGTTATCTAGTGCTGCTATAGCAGAAATTAACAAACAAATTTATTTTCTCACACTTTAGGAAGCTGGAAGTCCTAATTCAGGGTGCCAGCTCTAGGGAAGGGCTTTCTCTCTCTGTTGGCTCTGGTGGAAGGTCCTTGTGTCTTCTGAGTTTCTGTTCCAGGGAAGTCTTCATGTGGCTTGGCATCTCTCTTCCCCTATTTCTTCTCTGCTTGGTTGTTTAATTTTTTTTTTTTTTAATTTCTAAAGAGACTCAAAATAACTGTATACTAATCATGCTTCGTAACGTAACAAAAACAACCCATTCCCAAATGGGATTATAACCATGGACTTAGAGGTTAGGATTTATAATACATATTTTTGGGAGACATAATTCAGCCCATAACAGGTACGTTGGCCAGGAATAATACCTTGGTCTCCCAAATGGAAGGGGAGAATTTTACCACTGAACCTCCAATGTTCCCTTGTTGGAGTCATTTTCAACTTACCTCAACCCTGCGTGTGTCAGAGAAGTGTGCTCCATAGGATGTTCAATGGCTGTTTTTCAAACATAAATTATCAGGCCTTTCTTTTAAGGTGCCTCTTCGTGGACTTGAACTTTCAACCTTTTGGTTAGCAGATGAGCACATTAACCATTTGTACTACCTAGGCCCTGTTGCCAGTACAACGAGTGTGTGAGTGAATCAATGTCAGTTTAGTAGAATGTTAAACAAATGAGGAATTAAGATCAAATTCTTTGAAAGAAAAGATCAAAAGATGAATCTGCTAGATGGATTGTACAGAAAGTATTAAAGAAGCTAACTGCAAATGTTTTTCTTTAGATGGAATCTGCCTGTGTTTCAATTCATGAAGCTCTGAAGTCTGTCATCGACTATCAAACTCATTTCCGATTGAGAGAAGCTCAAGGCCGAAGCCGAGCAGAGGATCTAAATACAAGAGTGGCCTATTGGTCAGTAGGAGAAGCCCTCATTCTTCTAGTGGTTAGCATAGGGCAGGTATTTCTTCTGAAAAGCTTTTTCTCAGATAAAAGAACCACCACAACTCGTGTTGGATCCTAACTACGTTTTGAGAGTTGATGCACTATTGCCACTGTAATATTGCTGTCTTCTAATTGATTTTAGATACTGAAGAATTTAATATTGGCAATATTTTTAAAATCTTACGCATATACTTGTTGGAGGACATGTACAATGCATATCCCCCAAACTGTGGAAAGGACATCTTTTTTTTTTTTTTTTGTAAAGGTGGAAAAACTTTGGAACTTATTTTGGGCTATTCATGTTAAATATTCAGCACCAATGATCTACTCTCTTCTTGGTTGTTTATATCTACTCTTCACACACTAAACTTTGGTATTTTGATTCCTTTTAACCATTTAAAAGTGCTTTTTCTTATAGGTAGTTGATATTTTCAGAACCTTAGATTTAATCTATGTATGTTGTGGAGGAAGAAAATTACTCTTTAATTGTTTATAGTGAATAAAATTTTGTGTTTTAAGGAAACCAAATGTGACTGACTATAGCTCAAACCCTATTCTATACTGTTTAATTTTTTGGGAAAGAAGGAAAAAAATTATCATGGGAATAATGTTAGTATTACAATTTTGAATTGATGTGGTATGATTTATTTCCCACTAGCTTAGAAAGTGTCAGAATTTTGTTTTTTGGGTTTAGTCTCTGATTTACAACCAGATGTTATTTTTTCATAAAGGCATTCTTACCATAGTAACAGATAACAATATGATTCAGTAACATAATACAGTTTATACGGGCCTTAAGAATCAGACTATTACAACAGGTAGAATATTACAGGATAAGATGCTACAGTGGGAGCAAATTAAATGGATAAATTTATAGTGAACTATCTGCACAATTTTATTTCAGTACTTTTACAAAGGAATAAGGTGGTTTGTTTCATTTAACATCTCAATTGGCTGGTTCTTACCCATATGTGGCTTTAATGTCTTTGAGTCATCCCCAGCTTAAATTGACAGTTATAATATTAGTATCACATAAGTGCCATACATTTTATCCTAATGAGTGTGATGCACTGAGAAGTTAGGTTTTTGTTTATTTGCTTTTACTTGCACATGAGATTTCTATAATCTGGTTAGTAGCCCTAAAATGATTTGAAAATGTAGAATGCTTGTATGTGTGTATTTCTTATTTGATAATCTTCATTGATTGTATTGCATTTAATGAGTATTAAATAATGCATATTCTGTACACTATAAGGTTTAGACTGTGTTTATATCTTACTTGTATAGATTGAAACAATTGAAATAAGATTTTGTTCCAAGTATTCTAGAATAGAATACAAGATGATACAAAATGTGTAGATTTTTAAAGCTCTTTGCTGTTTAAAAAAAAGTTGCAACTGCTTGTCTGCCATGCTCCATTCCCCCATCCCAAGGTGATGAATGCTGAACAAGACTGTCATATTATAGTAACTCTGATATGTGGTGCCACACAACGCTGATGAGATAGCAATTCTGATGACATAACACTACTGACCAGAAGTTAACACTTATTTCTAAACTGTCTTAAAATGCTTATATACATTGCATGTAAGAGCAAAATTTATTGAAGTCAGAACAAAATTAATTAAGGTTGTCATGCTTGCTAATTTCTGATGAACATGTGTTCAATCTGTGAATTCTAAGATTTTTGAAGACCAAATAACTCCTTAAATGATGTCTATCAGTGGATTAAGATTTTGCAGATTTGTCTCTTCAAGTTCTTGTGTTAGATTTGTCACAAGTTTTTAAGTATCCCTCTATGTTTAGGTTTGAAAGTTTTAAGCATTAATGTTAACATGATTGGTAAGCATGAGCATATATAAAATGTCCTTTTCTGGTTGCCTGTCTGCTGTGTTGTGTTCAGATACTGATCCTGCACCATAATTAAGCAGTCAGGTATCAGTGTATACAGTCTGGCATAGATCGTACAGTCATTTAATCTGTGCCTCTTAAAACTTCAAGATGTTAGACTATTTCCTGAAATAATTTTTGATGAAACTTTTGAAATATATTAGAATTTTTGAAATCACCACTGTTACCTATTGTAAATATATGGGCTTAGTCTAGTCTGTATATAACTGGTTAAATTTTTGTGGTTGTCTACACTCAGCTAAGTATATATTTATAAATGAGGGAATACATATATATTTGGACATAAATGTTAAGTAAGAACAGGTTCTTCCTCTTACTATAATTTTTAGCTCATCTTATTTTCTACAATCCTGTCATAATTTGTTGCAACAGTTACAATTTTCCAAATATTTGTGTTTGGACATAAGGCTCAGAATTCGTACTTAAACATCATAGTTGTGTATATTTTTAAAATCAAATAAATAATGGAGAGGGACTTGATTCACAAGTTTATATTAAAATTTGAACTGTGTGAAGATGCATTTTAAGATATTACTTTGCTAATAATCTAAACTTTTTTTCCCCCTATTTAAGAAACAAATGGTTTATGGTTCACAGCTTTCATTCAGGTTTGATGATAATCAGCTTTGAAAATACATGAACAAAAAGATTTATTTCTGAAAAGATTTCATTTAAATCTCTGTACATTTTTGTTTCAGTTTGTAAATGTGTAACAATTACAGTTACATAGGACAAAGCAGACCCTATGACTATGTTTTGAAAAATTAAATTACATAAAAGTAATTCAAAGGGATTTTTCATTTACTTTTAAAAGGAAAAAAATTTCTAAAACAGATATTGGTTCTACAGGATTACACCAACCAGTTTCTTGTAGAATAAAAAAAAAACAAACTTTGAACAAACTGACTTCACTTATTTTTGTCAGGATTTAAATCTTTTTGAGCTCCTAATAAACGTGCAGCTTGGAGTAGTTTTATAGCAAGAAAGAGTAATTATTACATGGCATTTTGTTAATACATTTTAGGAACTGATGGAGAAAAATTTACAGAAGGTAAATTCCACCTCAAGATTGCCTCATGTGTTTTGTCTTTTCAGCATTTTGTAGTTTGGGTGACAGTTTATAAAGCAAATCAGTTTCCCTTTCAATTATACACATTGTATCACATTCAGTTAACAATTTATATACATTGTTTTGTGACATTAGTTGGCAATGTCATTAGTGTAACAGTATTCTTCCTGCTTCCTCCCTGGATTCCTTGTTTGTATTTATCCTTCTTTCTTGCCCCTTTTGATTTGTGAGCTTTGGTTTTGCGCAAGTGCTGCCCTCTTGATCTCGTATGGTTGATTGCTTTTAGTAGCATGTTCCTTACATGTGTTATTACTGTACACCTTGTAAGATTGCCTATTGTTTGGCTGAAAGGTAATCTCCCGGAGTGAGTTCAACTCCAGCTTTGAAGGGTGTCTAAAGGCCTTAGTCTCAGGGGTTCTACCATTCTCTGTCAGACCAGTAAGTCTGGTCTTTTTTGTGATTTTGATTTTTGTTCCACGTTTTTCTCCCAGTCTGTCCACGACCTTTTATCGTGATCTTGATCAGGGCAATAGATAGTAGTAGCAGCCAGGCAGCATCTAGTTCTTCTGGTCTCAGACGACACTGCGTCATTTTAACATTCTCTTTGCATTTCTTATTGAAAGATTGTGTGAGTGAAAGGCAAATTTGTAATTGTTACATTTTTCAGGTTAATTGAAGGAGGCATCATTATTTTTAACAAGTATCCTCATCTTCACTTTCATGTTTTATCTTGAAATCCATTTTTTTCTAACGTTAATGTAGTTACACTATCTTGCTTTTGGTTAGCACTTACATTATTTTTCACAGTTCTACTTTCATCCTTTTTTATCCTTATTTTTAGATGTCTCTTGTAGATATTATATTGGTGTTACTGCTATTATTATTTGTCCTATCTATACCAGGTTCCTTTTTTCTATTTACTTTATTACTTTTCTTTCTTTCTTAATTACTTTATTAGTTCTTTTCTGATATGGGCATTTAGTGCTGTAAGTTCCCCCTAAGTATTATTTTACCAGCATGCTGCAAATTCTGATATGTTGATTTTTATCAGTTTAAAATACTTTTTCATTTGCCTTTTGACTTCCCCTTTGACCAACCGGCTATTTAGAACTGAGCTGAGTTAGATTCCAAGTATGGTGGATCTTTGCAACTTTTTTTCTTTTGTTGATTCCAAATGTAATTCACTGTGATAAGAGAACATACATTATAGGACCTTAATCCTTTTCAGTTTAAGACTTGTTTTATGACCTAGGTAAATTTCCCATGTGCATTTGAAAGGATTGTGATTTTTCTATTGTTGAGTGGAGTGGTCTATAAATATCAGTCAGAACAAGGTCATTGATAGTATTTGGAAAGCCTACTTGCTTTATAAATTATTGAGAGTTGTTGTTGTTGTTGTTATATGCCGTTGAGTCAAACCCGTTGAGTCAAACCTGACTCGTAGCGACCCCTCCTTGGGTTTCCGAGGCAGTATCACTATGGAAGTAGGATTGCCCAACCTTCCTTCCGAGGAGTGGCTGGTGGGTTTGAACCGCCAGACGTCTGGTTAGCAGGCAAGTGTCTTAGCCACTATGCTACCAGAGCTCCCAAATTATTGAGAGAGGGGTATTGAAATCTCTTACTAAACTGTTCATTTGTATATTTCTTCTTGCAATTCTATCAGTTTTTGCTACATATATTTTGGAATATATGTCTTTATATTTAAAGTGTGTTTCTCGTAGGCAGCATATATTTGAATCATGCTTGTTTATCCAGTTTGAAAACTTCTGCCTGTTAATTAGTATTTTGAAATCATTTACATTTAATGCCATTATTGATATGGTTATGTTTAAGTGTGTTGTCTTGCTCTTTGTTTTTTTCCTTTTCACATCTTTTTTTGTTCCCTTTTTCTTTTCTGCCTTCTTTTGGATTAATCAAGTAACTTTTATAATTCTACTTTCTGTTTTTTGGATATTTAGTTATAATTCTTGTTATTTTAATAACAAGGATAGATAGACAGATAGCTGACATCAGGTTGACTCCAATTTATGGCAACCTTATATAGACAACAGAATAAAATGTTGCCCAGTCTTGCATCATCCTCATGATTGCCAGCATGTTCAAGTCCGCTGTTGTGGTTATTGTAGCAATCCATCTCACTGAAGGTCTCCTTCTCCCTTCCTGGCCCTCTACTTCACCAAACGCTTTGTCTTCCTTCACCAGTTAATCGCTCCTCATGATATGTCCAAAGCAAGTGAGTTGGATGATGTTTTGTTTTGATCCATAAGGTTTTCATTTACCAATTTTTAGAAGTAGATCACCAGGTCTTTATTCCTAATGTGTCATAGTTTGGAAGCTTTGGTGAACGCTCTTCACCATGAGTGACCCTACTGGTATTTGAAATACTGGTGGCTTAGCTTCCATATCATAGCAACACGCAAGCCATTATAGCATGAGAAATGGGTGATTGTTAGAGCTTGTAGTATCCATCTTTAACTTGTAAGAGTCTACCTTCTTTTGTTTAAAGTCAGTTTTTTAAAAAGTAATTTAAATAATCTCACGTTAACCATGTACTTAGCATTTCCAGTACTCTTCCATCCTTGGTGTAGATCTAGATTTCCATATTGTATCATTTCCCTTTTGCCTGAAGGACTCCCTT